CGACGACTTGGTCTTTGCCACAGCTGACACTGCTGGACTCGCCCACTTGAAGTCCGAGCTGCAGAAGAGACACACATGCACAGACCTGGGTGAACTGCGCAGCTACCTTGGCTTGCAGATCACCCGGGACAGAGCACGCCGCACCATTACCCTGACTCAGTCACACATGGTGCAGCAGGTCCTTCAGCGCTTCGGCTTCACGTACTCCTCGCCTCAGGCCACTCCTCTGCCTACTCGCCACTCGCTCTCAGCTCTGCCTTCGGATGAGTCCGTAGAGTCGAGTGGCCCGTACCCAAAGCTTGTTGGCTGCCTCATGTACCTTATGACCTGCACACGACCTGACCTCGCATACCCTCTTAGCATTCTCGCACGCTATGTTGCTCCTGGGAGACACAGACCGGAGCACATGGCTGCAGCGAAGAGGGTGTTGCGTTACTTGTGCAGTACGTCGGGCATGGGGCTTGTGCTTGGAGGGCAGAGTCCAGTGGTCCTCACTGGGCACGCAGACGCTTCTTGGGCTGACGACCAGGCTACGCAGCGGTCGTCACAGGGTTACACCTTCAGCCTTGGTTCCGGCTCTGTTTCGTGGCGGGCTACCCGCTCGTCTTCTGTTCTCGGCTCCAGTTGTGAGGCTGAGATCTACGCCGGGGCCATGGCTGCACAGGAGCTTCGCTGGCTCACCTACCTGCTGACTGACCTCGGAGAGCCGCCTCGTTCTCCTCCAGTGCTGTACGTAGACAACAAGGCCATGCTGGCCTTGTGTCGAGAGCAGAGACTGGAGCACAGAACGAAGCACATTGCTCTCCGCTACTTCCTTGCTCGTGAGCTACAGCAGCGTGGTCAGCTGCGGCTTGCGTACGTGGCCTCTCAGGCCAACACTGCTGATATCTTCACCAAGGCACTTGCGCCTTGTGATCATCAGCGCTTCTGTACTCAGCTGGGTCTTGTGCCTACCTTGCCTCACTTGCTCACCCCTTGACCTTGTTTGTACTGTTGCATATATATATACACCTGCTCTTGCTTGGCTAGCCTTATATATATATGTAATCCTGCATGTGAACTGGCCTTGTGGCCTTGAACTTGTGCTCGGAATGTGTGGTGACTTTGTGATCCACCCTGAGCTTGCTTTGCTTTGCTTGACTGGTCTTGTGACCCCTTGTTCTCCCCCACCTTGCCTATGGGGGTGTGTCAGATTTATATGACATAGCTACTGTAGGCTATAGTGGGGTAGCACATATGGGGTACAGTTTTCTAGGGTTTACATTTGTACCCAACTTTCCCTTAGTCAATTCATTCTCGTTCAGTTTCTCACGAGGATGTTCTTCTCTGCTGCAAGGAGGTGCTTCTCGAAGTCGTCGACAGTGAGAGTGGGGGGGTCTAGCGCTAGGAAGTGGTCCCTGACCGAGCTAAGAGTGTCAGGGAGGCGCGTAACGAGGAAATAGAGAGTGAAGTACATCGGGGGGGGGTTTGCGGCGCAGAACTCGGCTGAGAGGGCGGCACGAAAGCGAGAGTCAGTAGCGCGGAGGTGAGAAATGAGGTCCTCAGCAGTGGTGAACGAGGAAAGGTCGGGGAACAGGTAGGGTAGCATGAGCCGACCTATGGCTGCAGTGGCCGGGGAGGAGTAGCGTGCAACTACAGCGTCGTACAGTGTCTTAGCAGTTTTGTGCTGGCTGAAATGCGCGCGCTCAGTGATCGGCAGATGGTTCCTAATAGCTAGGCGTGCAGCAGCATCGCGAGTCTGCCACTGCGAGCGTTCGAGAGCAGGAGCATCAGCAGCAGGAGCAACGGCAGTGCCAGACACGTAATCGAACAGTGAAACGCCCTCTTTGGCATCGGTCAGAAGGAACAGTTGCAGGTCGTCTAGCCACACAGTGAACTCTATGGGGCGACCGTCAGGTTCGAACGCGAGAACATTAGGCGTCGTCATAACAGCAGTAGGCAAAGGCAGCAGAAAGCAGGCAGGCAGTAGACACGAGGCAGTAGGCAGTAGACAGAAGGCTAAAACTTAGGCAGTAGGCAGTAGGCAGTACAGGCAACGTGCAGGGCAGTAGCTGGCTGCACCCAAGCTCCTACGGTGGGGCTCTAGACAGTGGCAGGCCGTACAGTTCGAAGGCAGTGAGTTTGGCAGCAGTAAGCCTCACAGGCAAGTACACACGTAGGGCGCGCGCGGCTGCTGGCTGCGTGCGGCTAAGGGCCGCGCGTGGCTCTCTGCTGCGCGTGGCTACGTGCTGCGCGCGGCTCCTGGCTGCACGTGGCGACGAGCAGCGCGCGCGCGGGCGGCGGGCTCTACGTCGCGCGCGGGCGGTGGGCTCTGCTTAGGCTGCGCGCGGGCGGCGTAAGGGGCGCGCGGGCTCTACGAGGGCTACGCGGGCGACGCGGACCGGCGCGCGGCTCTACAGCAGTGGCTCGCGCTAAAAATCAGAGACGCGTGCGCTAGAAACCGAGGCGCGCGCGGGAAAAAAATAAGTGACGCGCGTTGCCGCCGAGGCGCGCGCGAGCAGTAGGCAAGGCAGGCAGTTAGGTGGGCCCGATTCGTAGGTCCTAGAGACCTCCTGCTCTAGTTACCATGTTAAGAACCTAAGGCAAGAATGATAGTTTAGGTCAAGGTTGGGGTACAAGAGTGAAGTGTCGAGAGAGTTTCTGTACCCCCTAGTGCTAACCACCATGCAGCCTAGATAACCTAAACATATATATATATATATATATATATATAATTTGACAAGATTTGCTTGGCCTCCGGATCCTCCGGCCATCTTGGTCTTGGAGCGTGTGCCGCTCGCCAGATTTTGATTTGGCGAGTTTCACGGAAGTGAAGTTGTGAAGAATCCCTGAGTAGCTCTCATACCATGTTACAATCCCAAGTGGGACTTAGCGAAGGATCGCTCAGGGTTGATCGCAGGGTAGTGTTGCAGCGGAAGTTTGAATCTCAGGTCAGAGTGAATGTAAATGACTGAGTTGATAAAATCATGCATACATCAGGTTTATATAAGAATACAAGGGAATACGAAAAGACCTAGACTAGCCATGTACTCTAAGGGGTACATTCCATTATTGCAACGAAATTCAAACCGTGCGGCGCGGGAACCCGTTTCAAACCTGTTCCCGCTCTTTTCACTTCAAATGTTTCTGCCTGCATCGGTCTTGGTCAGACGGATGCTGCGTCGCTTCGACTCTTCTGACTCCTCGACTTCGTACTCGGTAGAGTCGGCTCCTGCAGCATACAAGAATGCCTACTCATGTAATTTCATATCGTAACAAACTCTAGCATTAACCCTGACTGGTATTGTATCCTCATGTAAACTACAAATCTGTACCGCGTGATTACTGTAGAATGCGGTGGGGGGTTCAGGACGCGTTGAAAGTGAGAATATCGCAGGATCGCGCGTCTATATCGATCCGCATAATCGATTGGGCGGATCGTTTGGCGAAACGATGCGCCCACGCGGTTGTAACGATCGCCCCTGCATGATGGGTTGGATGTTACAGAATCAAGATTTCGGTTTTGCCTGCGACACCGTCTAAGAAAAACCCCCTTCGCCCAACTACACCTGAGACATTCGCAACCAACAGGGCAACCGACTTGAAATTCCGCAAAATGCCGGAATTATGCGCGTCTACGTTATCGCTATGTGGAATTTCAGCACTTCGCAGGCATCAGCATCAATCGTGCCTGTTGTGATCGGTTCATGCACATCATCTGCGCATTGATGCTGCGGAAAGCTCTACAACGATCAGTGATTAGTCGCATTCACTTACTGTGCAAAAAAATTGGACAAAAACCTTACTGTAGCATGGTTACACAATAGAATTCAGGGTAACTAATCCGCATACCGATCGCAACTGATGATCGATCGTCTACTTTCACCGTGTCCTCAGCACAGAAATTGGGGAGCAGAAGGCGTATTCGAGGATTGCATCAATCTTTGTGCTTAGACGTGCAAGGTGGCTGTAGGAGGTGTTGGCTCCGCAACTGTCGACATCAACGACACAAAGTCGGCCGGCTGGGAAGTCTTACATGATGTAATCTGGAAGGTAATTTCTATGAAGGAATACGCCTTATTGGCCAAAATCAAACAGAAGGCACGTCGTCAATGACCAACCGCACCTGGACCTCGTTTGAACGACTTCAGGTACGTCTGAGCCAGCGGAATTCTGCATTCCCTAGGTACGGGGGGCGTCGCCGCAGCACGGAATGTAGCGATTTCGAGGTCTGCCTCTGGTTCGGCCTAGCAGAACTTGCTGGTCTGGATGTTGCTGCCTCGGTAATATTCAAGCATATCCCCAGGTTTAGGCTTGAACACGCTTGGTTCGGATTCTTGTGAAAAAGCTCTGGCTGGTTCGTTCCAGCCAGACCTAGGCTCTAATCTGTAAACTGAACCACACTTTCGCCCCTGCTGCCCCTATGGAGTGCTTCCAAGCCTACAGCTGGCTCCCTAACCTAGCCTAACTGGCTGGTTTGCTCTGGAAATGCTTCTGGTGCTACTTCGGTGTGGTGCTGGAACTCTGCCTCTCTCCTCCCCATCCATGCCAGGGATTTCATTTTTCACCCCTCCCTCAGAAGAAAGCTGCATTGTGTTTTCCATCTGTTCATTCTGCTGATGAAAGCAATTGACGTCTTTATGCTTGTCCACTGCACACACGTGGGGGATTCTTACATAGAACATATATTGAGTCCGCGTGCGTTTATAGTCTAAGAGGCTTTAGGTAGACTTCCAGTCTCAGTCATGACGTAGTTCGAGCAGCCTTTAGTAGTGCTTTATAGTTATAATAATTACCTGGTCTCCTCGCACCTCTTGCTGACACAACTGTAACACGGTTACTCCTCTACACGCGCTTCGGTTTAAACCTTTATCCGTCTCCACTCAAAGCAACCAAAGTACAAAATGGGTGTACAAATAACGACATCACACGTGTGAAAAGCGTTCCAGCCTTCATTACCTGAAATCGAAGTAGTATCTAGGCAGCGTTGCAACTTCTCCTAAGTCGACCAGAAGAGCCACATGGCTCTTCTGGAGCATTTGAAGGTCGACCCCGGCAGTATTCGCTTCCAGTGTAAGCGATTTTTGTCTTTCCTACCCTGCAATGTTTCAATTCGAATGAACTACGGCGACAATCTTTTCGCGGCATACGCTGGAGAAACGGAAGAGTTAACGGGAACATTGCACATTCACGCGGCACTAACATAATGCTAAGCTTCAAAGTGCTAACGTTCTCTTTTGCTCGATAACGTTTGTTCCTTACTGGTTTATACTATCTGTGCACGGATTGACCCTGCTACCAAAATTCTTCTGGCATGTGTAATGTTTCGCGTCAGCCAAGCTCCGTGCTACCAATGTACCGTAAATCCTCATGATTGCACAATTGGGATGCAGTGCCAAAGACAGTGTGGTGAACCATGTGCAACCCCCATTCCGTTCCCCTCGACCTCCCCTTTCCCTTCCCCTTCCCCTTCCCCTTCCACCTCCCCTTCACTTGGGAGGTGCGCAGTCGACGTGGGTCAGGAGCTTCGCAGCACCCTACGCTTCACCAACTTCAGCGACCAAACGCTGGTCATCAGGGTGAGTCAGGTCGTTAGGTAGGGTAAGTCAATGCGGATCGTCTGGGTGAGTCAGGGCCGGCTGTTAGGTTGAGTCAAGTCGTTAGGTAGGGTGAGTCAACGGTGGTCGGTAGGGTGAGTCAACGGTGGTCGGTAGGGTGAGTCAACGGTGGTCGGTAGGGTGAGTCAACGGTGGTCGGTAGGGTGAGTCAACGGTGGTCGGTAGGGTGAGTCAACGGTGGTCGGTAGGGTGAGTCAACGGTGGTCGGTAGGGTGAGTCAACGGTGGTCGGTAGGTTGAGTAAACGGTGGTCGGTAGGTTGAGTCAACGGTGGTCGGTAGGGTGAGTCAACGGTGGTCGGTAGGGCGAGCCAACGCTGGTCGGGAGGGCGAGTCAACGCTGGTCGGGAGGGCGAGTCAACGCTGGTTGGTAGGGTGAGTGAACGCTGGTGGTCAGGGCTCCATCGCCGGTCGTTAGGGTCAATGGTCCACAGCCACCGTAGTAGTCTAGTCGAGCCGGCTGGCAGCTAACTCCGGGCGCTGCTCGCGCGTACACCGCCATAGTGCCTTTTGAGGCGCCTCATACGTAACCTTACCCCGCTCTTCGCCCTTTATCCTCGCCATGGCTGGCAGCTCACTCCGGGCACTGCTCGCGCGTACACCATCGTGGATGGCGGCATGCTGCTGCTGCCGCCCAACAGCCTGGAAGAGAAGTCAGGTAGAGAGTGGCGGGGAAGGGAATGATTTGGGGGGGGAATGGGGCCGAATGAGGGAGAGAGAGGGAAGTGAAGGAGGAGAAGGGAGTGGAGAAGGGGGAGAGAGTGAGAAGGAGGAAGGACACTGCACAGAAGTGCAAAGTAGGGTCTGGCTTTAGCATGATTGGTTTGTTGTTTTGTAGCCGTGCCAGATTCAACATGATAAATTCACCAGGTTATATACAGGCAAGGGCGTGAAGCGAGGCTTTGTAGGCTATCCTGCTCAAGCAAGGGCCTGAATAGAACAGTGACTATCCAGCCCACAGGTGGATCTCTTCTACTCGTGTACCGCTTCCCACACCTGTTCCCCCACCCCCCCGCCCCCTCCACTCCGCCGTCTGCCCTCTCCGTGTGCCCCTTGTTTCGTCGTGCTGCCAGTGCTGTGTGCAGCCTTTGACAAGAAGCCTTTCTGGTTCCCTGCTGACTTCTTCACTCTCGAATGCTTCCTTGCTAACTCCATTCAAGAGGTCCGTTTTAGACCTTTTTACCCTCCCCCTCGTCCTCCCACTCCTTCCTCGCTTAATCCAGTCAAGAGGCTCACGTTCATTCTTATCTCGTCCCCCCCCCCTCCTTCCCAGCTCCTCCCCCACTCCACCCTCTTCTCCTCCCCCCTCTCTTCCCTCCCTTCCCCCCCATCCCCCCACTTCCTACTGCTCTGCTACCTAACTGTAATCCTTACTCCTCTCTGTACTTCGTCCCTTGCATCTGTTCACCCCCACCTCTTCGTCTTCCTCATCTGTTCTTCACTTCTCATCCTATCTCTTCCTTATTCTCTCTCTCCCTGTCTCACCCTCTCCCTTTCCCCTCGTTCCCCCCTCCCTCCCCCCTCAACCCACCCCCCCTCCCCTTCACGGCCCCCCACGGTCCCCCTTTTCTCCCTCTCTCCCCGCCCCTTCTCTCTCCCTGCGCCACAGGTGGAGCTTGGTCGCGATGTGGTGCCCATAGGCCGTCGCCAGCTGCAAGTAGCCTTCAACGAACGGCCAGGAGGCAACTCGATGCCCGCACTCTTCAGTAACGTGAGTTTGACACACATACCACGCACACCTCACATCCCACCCGCCTTTGCTGAAGCTAGGGTCAACAGGAGTTAGAGCGATATCTCAGTTCGACCCTCATGCCCACTCCCTATGTAACGGATGGTCACTTCAAGCAATGTTGTACGTAACAGGCAAAGAAGTTGCCATCCTTTACAGGCAAAGAACAGGCAAAAAAACTAACCTACCACCTGCAAAAACACAGGTAAAAAAGGGGAGATTTCTCTGGTTACTCCTCGGTTCGGTTTATTCCGCCTCCAACCCTTCCCTTCCGTTCCACACTGTCTGTAACCTCTCCCTCTCCATCGCCCCTTCCCGTTTCTCGATTTCCTTCCCTCCTACTTCCACTTCCCCACCCTACCCCCACTCTTTTCCCCCCCCTGTCGCCCCCACGCCCCCCCAGCAGTCTCAGTCGGGTCACATGCGTGCCTTGGGTCTGCCTGGCGCCTTCTCTGCTGATGATCGCGCACAGGTGAGAGACAAGGGTGCTGTGCGCATAGGCAAACGGGAGAACGAGAGGGAGAGAAGGCGGTGGGGAGAGCAGAGGGAGGATATGTGCAGAGCAGATACGTGAGGCTGTCATTCAGCTCCCGTTGCTCCCTGTTCAGTTGCGATTATCTTGTCTCGAACTTGGAACTGGGAACGTCCCTTCCTCCTCCTCCCTTTCCCACGGCCCCCCTTTTCCTCCTCTCGTTCGTCTCTCTCTCTCTCTCAAGGCGAAGGTGTACGAGGCGATGAAGCAGACGGTGAGGGACAGTCAAGAGAAGCTGATGGCACTCTCTATGCCCTGTGCCCACCCACCCCCCCACCACCCCCATCCCCTCCCCTTTCCCCTCTCCTCCCCCCACTCCTTCCGCCTCACCGCACCCCTCTGCTATCTCTCAAGGCGGAGGTTTAGGAGGCGATGAAGCAGACGCTGAAGGAGAGCCAGGAGAAGCTGATGGCCCCTCTCTCTTGCCTTAGCGTCTCCCCTTTGCTTCCCCACCCTCCCCGTTCCCCCACGTTTGCCCACTCTCCCTGAATAGGCGGAGGTGTATGAGGCGATGAAGCAGACGCTGAAGGAGAGCCAGGAGAAGCTGATGGAGCGCGACGACACGATCCGCGCGCTGAGGGAGGTGCTGGCGGCGCTGGGGCCCAAGCTCAAGGCGCGGGAGGACGAGCTGGAGGAGTATGAAGTGCACGTGTGCGAGCTCAAGCAACGGCTGCTCATGGTGCGTTGAGAGGGGATGGGGTGGGGGTGGGGGCAGTTGGAAGGAGTTGGAAGAGTATGAGGTGCATGTGTGTGAGCTCAAGCAGCGGCTGCTCATGGTGCGTTGAGATGGGATGGGGTGGGGGTTGGGAATAGATGCTGATGTGATGGCATGCAGATGGTGGTGATGATGATTCTGACTTCGAATCTTGTAATGTCTTCTGCAATGCAGGAGGCTTTATTGCTGCCACTGCAGCTTCACATCAGTATTAGCTTCTCTTGTTCTTCTCTTAGTTGCTCCTTCCTATCCCCCCGTCTGTCTGTCTCTCCTCCGTTCTGCCATCTTGCAATGCACGTCCGATGGAGCAGGCTGAGAAGAAGGTGAACGAGCTACAAACCGCTCTGGTGAGTGTGTGCGCTTTGGGACGCCTCAGGACGAAACATAGCATGTATCTGTTGATGCTCTTCTAGTTGACTCGCTTGGTATTGTTGTTGTTCCTTCACCTGACTCATCAGGCCCACCATTACCAGACCAGGTTGAGCCTTTCAAGAGACGCCTCAATATTAGACTGAAGTTGTTGAGTTCCTTCCCTCTCTTGTTCTCATTCTCTCCCGGTCTCCTCTCTTGCGCATCGTTCCGTCCCTTCTTGTTGTGCTCCGTGCTTGCTCTTTGTGTTCATCAGGCCATGACGCCCGATAGAATGGTGAGTTGCAAGAAACGGCGGGCCACCTTTGGGTCGTTGTCCTGTGTGTGGTATTTGCAACGAGGTCTAATTTGTTTTGTCCTGAGGAATGGATGTAGCGTGCAAGGGGCTGCAGCTGTAGCATGATCCAGTAGCTCTGTGCTCTGTCCATCATTCCCTTAATCTCTTTCTTTTTCTAATCCTGTTCCATCACCCCCCCCCCCCCCCCCCCCCCCCCCAATCCCCCCTCCCTTTCCCCCTCTCCCTCCCTCCCACTCTCCTTTCCATGCATGCACTGCTCGTTTTTACGTTCTTTCCAAGTCTCCTCTACTCAGTTAACTCCCTCTGTATTTTCTTAAACCTTCACACTCACCTCTCCTCCCTCCTGACCCCTCTTTCCATCCGTCCCCTGCCCATCTCCCTCCCTTACCCGCTGCCTGCCCCATGCCCTTCGCCCCTCGCCCCATGCCCCGTGCCCCTGGCTCCGTTCCCTCTCCCCCTGGCAGAAGGCAGCACTGGAGGAGGCGGGGGAGAGGGAGGCGTCGTTGGAGGGCAAGTGCCGCATGCTGGAGGGCGAGTGCGAGCGCAGCCGCGCTGCCATCCTCGCCGCCCAGCAGCAGGCCGACTCCCTCACTCGCACCCTGGTGAGAGGAGGGGCGCGAGGAGAGGGAGGGAAGGGGAGGGGAGGGGAGGGGAGGGGAGGGGAGGGGGGGGAGGGGGAGGGGATTCAAGGGAAAAAATGATTGTGTTTATTCACGTGCCCATTCACGTTTCCGTTCATACTGCGTGGGTATTTAGACTGATGTGAGTCTCGTGTCATGTGTGTATGAGCAGAGAGTGATGGAGATTGAGAAGCTCAAGGCTGACAGGGAGCGCTCACAGCAGGTCAGTCAGCACACCCACCACATCTCTCCCTTACTCCCTCCCCTCCCTCCCTTCACTCACTTTCTTCCCTCCCCGCACTTGCTCGCTTCGTATCCTTCATTTTCCCCTCTTCTCCCCCCCCTTCCTCTAGCCCTCGCTTCTCCCCCCCCGCCTTCCCCTCCTCATATCTCCCTGCCAAGCCGTTCTCGTCGTACCGGTGTGGCTCTCACACATCTTCTGGTAGGCGAAGCTCTGCACCGCACCCGTGCTGTGTGCTATGCTCACAACCCACCTGCCCAACCAAACCCGTGCCTCTCAAACTCAAACATGCCATGAGCATGTCCCCTGCAACTCTACCCCTCCTCCCATTCTTCCCAATTCCTCCGCTCCCCCTCGCCCTCACCCTCCTCCTGACACACACGCTCCTCCCGGTCCCCCTGGCAGGTGTGCAGTGTGGAGGCGGGGAAGGTGTAGCTGGAGCACGAAATAGCTCGCTTAAAGGACGCCCCGTGGGTGTCCCCCCCTGCAACCCTACCCCTTCTTACACCCCCCTTTTCCCCCTCCCCATTCCCCCCTTCATCTGGCAGGTGCGCAGTGTGAGGGCGGAGAAGGTGGAGTTGGAGCACGAGGTAGCGCGCCTCAAGGACGCCCTCAAAGCAGCAGGCGGCCACCTCTCCTCTCCAGACAGGCCCGACCCCCCCCGCCGCCGCCTCTCCTCCCAGGTGTGTCCAACCCCCCCCTTCCCAACCCCCATTCCCCCCTCTCCGATTCCACCCCGACCCACTTCCCCCTCTTCCCCCCTCCCTCCCCCCCACCCTCCCTCCCCCTCCGCCTGCCCTTTCCCAACTGTGAGGGCAGTGAAGTCACTGCCAGTCTGCTGTAGCGAATCACGTCGCTGCGTTTGAAGCTTGTTGTCAAGGAGAGCCGCGTTGGTCCAGGAGAAGCACGTGCATTGCATTCTGCTGTTGGGATGTTTCCAGTCTCGTGCCCAGTGCACTCTCCAGAATCTTCCATCGCTGCCACACTTCCCCCTTTCCTCCCCCCTCCCACACTCCCCAACTCCTCTTACCGACTATCTGCTTCCGCATTGTCACCTCCCTTTGCCTCCCTTCCCCCTCGCCCCTTCCATCCCTTCGCCAACCCCCCCCCCCCCTCTCCCCTCCTCCCATCCCTTACCCAAATCCCCCCTCCCGTCCCTTGACCACTCCCCGCCTCTCCAGCTCTCTCCCCACATCCCGAGCCGCCCAGGCTTCCCCACATCCGCGTCTCTCTCATCAGCAGAGACACCGGACAGGGAGGGCCGGAGGTCCTTCACGCGCTCCTCTAGCCGCAGCAGCCAGGACCTGGAGGGCCGCGAGGGGCTGGGGAGTGTTGACGAGTCGAGCCAAGGCGACAGGGATGAGATGTTTGAGACGCGGTCGGTGGAGAGTGTGGAGGAGGGGAGTGAGAGAGGAGGGGGGAGGAGAGGGGAGCGGGGACTGGAGGAGATGGTGGGAGCGGACGGGGAGATTGCGGAAGGGGGTGCAAGCAGCAAAGAGGTATGGAGTTTGACTGGGTTTGTTACCCTTTGGTCTTACCTTTGTGATCTCGGTACACTACGTTTGTTGCATGTGTGTACGTTTGTGTGTATATGGGTGATGGGGGGGAGACGGGGGCGAGGGAGGGGTTGCATGGGTATGTGGGTGCATGCATGTGTGCGTGCAGTGGGGAGTGTCTCTGACGCGTGCCCTGCTGCATCTCTGTTTGACACATCTCAAAGGTTGCATGCATGTGTGCGTGCATGAATGCATTGGAGCGTGTCTGAGACTGAAGCTGTCCTGGTGCATCCCTTTCCTCTCTTCCTCCGCTTACACCCCTGCATCTACCTCACTGCCCACTCTTCCCGGCTGTGTGTGTGCGTGGTCGCCAAGCTGTTAGCATCTCTGCAAACACATTCTCAAAAGCCTTACCCGCATGATATACCGCACTGTCCTTCGCCTTCCCCCCACTCCCCCCCCCTCCCGCCTGCGCGCGTGTGTGTTATAACTGTTTCAGCTGTTTGCCCTGTTGGAGGGCGAGCGTGCGAGGGCAGCAGCAGGGGAGCGGCGGGTGCGGCAGTTGCAGGAGGAGATGAGTCAGCTGCAGACAGACCTGGGCCGATGGCAGCAGGTGGGTGTGTGTGTGTGTGTGTGTGTGGGTGCGTGCGTGTGTGTGTGTGTGTGTGTGTGGGTGCGTGTGCGTGCGTGTGTGTGTGTGTGTGTGTGTGTGTGTGCGTGTGTGTGCGTGCGTGTGTGTGTGTGCGTGTGTGTTCGCGCATGTTTGAGACTTCTCAAAATGCGTGCGTGTTCGCGCATGTGTGAGTGTGTTTGCACAAATACTTAACATAATCGTGTGTGAGAACTTGTGTGTGGGCGGTGCATGGGTGTTGAGAAGGGAGGTACTGTAGGAACAAGAGCGTAACAGAAAGTGGGGCTTAGGAGTCTAGAAAAAGCTGGGCACTAGAGAATGAATGAGAGGAGGTTAGGGAGTGGAGCACACGAGTGAAAAACAGCTTGCATGCTTAGACCGCGACGTAACCAGAAGAGCAGCAGCAACCCGAGATGGTCTCAAGACGTCTCAAACTCTTTCTCGTCCCTCTCACTTCTCCTTCCCCTCTCCACATCTTTTCCCTCTCCCCACCCTCCCTCCCGTCCACACCCTCGCACGATCACCAGGCGGCGAGGGAGGGCGAGGAGGCGCGGCAGCAGGCGGTGGCATGGCAACAGCGGTGTGCGATGGTGCAGGAGGAGCTGCAGCAGCGCCGCAGCGAGGCAGGCTTCCTCACAGGCGAGGTCTCCCGCCTCCGCACGCTGCTGCAGGTGGGTTGGGTTGAAGGGGGGGGGTCGTTGGCGTTGGTAGGAGTCTGTCTGTAGAAGCCTCCCCGAGTCGAACTTAAAATGAAAAAGCGAGGCAGGGTTTCTGAGAGGCGAGGTGACCTACCTCTGCTCCACACCCTGCTGCAGGTGGGGTTGGGGGAGCCGTTGGGGTCTGTCTGTAGCTCTTTTCGAGTGCTGCTCTGTGGTGTCATGTTCCTGCGCCCGCTGGCTGTTGTATATGTCTTGAGAACGCAGTTTGTTTGTGTGTTTGTGTGTGTGTGTGTGTGTGTGTGTCTGCATGTGTGTTGTGTGTGTGTGTTGTGTGTTGTGTGTTTGTGTGTGCGTGTGTGCGCGCGCGTGCTCATGCGTGTGCCTGTCTGTGTAACAGGAGCGGGCGAAATCAGGAGTATCATCACCTGGAGCAGCAGCAGCAGCAGCAGCAGCGGCGGCAGCCACACCGCAATCAGCACCAGCGGCTGCTGGTGAAGCAGGGCTTGCAGAAACACAAGGCCAACCACTTGACACAGGGCGAGCAGGGGGATCCGGAACAGCAGGGGCTGCAGGGAGAAGCAATGGGGACAACGACAGGGAAGCATGCGCGCAGGGAGAGGAGGAGGGGCAGGGATGGGCGGAGCCCGAGGGAGGCACAACAGGGGGCATGTGTGCGGATGGGTCAATGAGCTTGCTAGGTGCTTCCTCTAGCAGCGCCCATGCCTTGCAAAGTGGGTTCGGGGAGCCAGGCGAGGGCGGTGGGGACAGGGGCGGAGACAGTAGGGGGTCTGGAGGAGCTGGGGAATGGAGAGAGGGGGATTTGGAAAGAGGAGCAGCAGTGGGTGTGGGTGTAGGAGCAGGTGGGAGGGCTTTAGGGAGGGGCGAGCAGGCAGGGGCGGGAGGGGGAGATGGGGCGGAGGGAGGGGAGGGGGTTGGGGGGGAGGATAGGGCAGCATCTGTTGCAGGTAGCGTGGAGGGTGGGAGGGCGGAATGGGACGGGGATACTGGTGGTAGTGTTGCTGGTGGTGGGAGGAATGGAGGCGAGGCAACGCCAGCAGCAGTAGGAGGATCGATAGCAGCAGGAGGAGGAGTGTGGGAGAGGTGTGGGAGGGGGAATGGGGGGAGTGGATCGTCCAGGAGCCATGATGCAGAAGAGGCTGCTATGCTGAGATTCGAGGTGAGCGGTCGCGGTCCACTCCACTCCACTCCACTCCACTCCACTCCACTCCACTCCACTCCACTCCACTCAGCACCACCAACTTGCATTGCATTCCGTCACCATGACCTGCATGAACTGCCTCTTCTGCTTCAACCCCTCGTCGTTGACGCTCCGAGCTTGTCGTTCAACGTGCCATGTCCCTTCCGGTGATCCTATCGTACAGAGCGTCAACTGCGCATTCTACCTGCATATGTAGCTTCACGTTGTAAGACGACCTTAAGATCTTCCTAAAGACGCACACGGGTTTTCAGAAGAGCAGGGGACCAGTGCAATTAGGGCGAAAGATGTGCTAGGAGAGAGGGGGGTGAAGAAGTGGGAGAGAGAGGCTGGAGAGTGGATAAGCGGACTTGTTTTCACGATGTACAATCTGAAAAACGCCGGGTTTCCATTCTCCGTTCCCATCCACCCTTCTCTCTCGCCCTCCCCCACCCCCTGCCACCTCTCCTCCTGTGCCTGCCAGGCAGTGCGGCTGATTGAGTCGATGGCAACGATAGAGGCGGAGAGGCGAGTAACCATCATGTTTGCCCCATGCCTCGTCCCCAATCCCCCCCCTTGCCCTCCCATTCCCCATCCCTCCCCCGCTCCCCCTTGCCATTTCTCCCCCCCTGCTCTCCCTCTCCCTCTCCCCCTCCTCTCCCCCTCCCCTCCCCCGCCTCTTGTGTCCCCCAGGCGGCGCGACTGATGGAGTCGATGGCAGCCATGGAGGCGGAGAGGAGAATAGTAGCCGGCATGTTTGCGCCATGCTTCGTCCCCAATGCCCCCCCTTACCCTCCTACTCCCCCTCGCCCCCCCCCCCCCCCCCCCCCCCCCGTCCGCCTGTGTCTCCCAGGCGGCGCGGCTGATGGAGTGGATGGCAGCGATGGAGGCGGAGAGGAGAGCAACCATCATGTTTGCCCCATGCTATGCTTCATCCCAGTTTCCGCCCTCTCCCTTCCACTCCCCCTCCTCTTCCGCCTGTGTCCCCAGGCGGCGCGGCTGATGGAGTCGATGGCAGCCATGGAGGCGGAGAGGCAGCAGCTGCGCATAGCGGTGCGCGACCGGGACGAGGTGGTCCGGCGCGTGGAGAGGGACGCGCAGGAGCTCCGATACGCCAACGAGGAGGTGAGCCATGGGCTGTGCTGTGCAGTAATAGCTAGGATCTCGGATGCACACTCGAAGCGAAGCGACAGGGAGTGTGAGAAGTGTTGAGAGGGATGCGCAGGAGCTCCGATACGCCAACAAGGAGGTGAGGGTGGAGGAGTAAGGATAGCAAGAGGGTTCAGGCTGTGCAAAGGGGAGGGTTAAGATGTAGATAGGGGTGAATAGGATCCGAGGATTTCCGGTTCTTTCGTCTGCAATCCTTTCTTACCTCCGTTGACTGATTCGTGCCCCACAATGATGATACGCCTACTTTCTTTTCTCACAATTTCTCCTCTCTTCCTCTGCCGACCGGCTCCTCTCCCCCTCCCCTCCCCCTTCCCCCCTTTCCCCTTCCCCTCCCCTCCCCATTTCCCCTCCTATCCTCCCCCCTTTCTCCCCTCCCGTTCCCTCCCCTCCCCCTCCCTCTCACCCTCCCCTCTCCCACTCCGTTGTTGCAATGCCAGGCGTCCACGCAGCTGGCAACGTATCGCCAGCTCATTGACAGCCTCTCCTCCTCCTCGCCGTCTCGCTCCCACCAGGTCCGTTCCCTTCGCCACACACCTCTCCACCTCTCTCACCTGTGCCCTGTGGCCTGCGCATCCCCACCACCCTTCCTTTCCTGCTCCTCCCCACCACCCTTCCTTTCCTGCTCCTCCCCACCGTCCTTCCTTTCCTGCTCCTCCCCACCACCCTTCCTTTCCTGCTCCTCCCCACCGTCCTTCCTTTCCTGCTCCTCCCCACCACCCTTCCTTTCCTGCTCCTCCCCACCGTCCTTCCTTTCCTGCTCCTCCCCACCACCCTTCCTTTCCTGCTCCTCCCCACCGTCCTTCCTTTCCTGCTCCTCCCCACCACCCTTCCTTTCCTGCTCCTCCCCACCGTCCTTCCTTTCCTGCTCCTCCCCACCACCCTTCCTTTCCTGCTCCTCCCCACCGTCCTTCCTTTCCTGCTCCTCCCCACCACCCTTCCTTTCCCACTCCTCCCCACCACCCTTCCTTTCCCACTCCTCCCCACCACCCTTCCTTTCCCACTCCTCCCCACCATCCTTCCTTTCCCACTCCTCCCCACCATCCTTCCTTTCCCACTCCTCCCCACCATCCTTCCTTTCCCACTCCTCCCCACCATCCTTCCTTTCCCACTCCTCCCCACCATCCTTCCTTTCCCACTCCTCCCCACCATCCGTCCTTTCCCACTCCTCCCCACCATCCGTCCTGCTCCTTCCACCCCCCTCCCCCCCCCCCTACAGCATCACGTGGACGTGGAGCGTGAGCGGGCACAGCAGCGCAAGTCTTGTTCCCCCCCTGAACCCTTACACTCACTCTTCCCCTCCCTCCCCTCTCCCATCCGCCCCCCTTCCCCCCCCATGGCAGCACATAGATGTGGAGAGGGAGCGGGCGCAGCAGCGCATTCTGCAGCAGCGAGTGGAGCAGCTAGCGCAGCAGGTGCAGGGGGGCAGGCAGGACATGGAGGGGCTCCGCCAGGCGCTCAAGGCGGCCAGGGAGGACGTGGCTGAGAAGGACGTGCGGATTAGGGAGCTGGTGAAGCAGCTGCAGCACTGCGAGGTGCGTAGGTTCTGCAGTTTGAGGTGTGTTGGTCTCTTGGCTCCAATCAGAAGGACAATGCAGGCAGGCGCTCAAGGGCGGCTAGAGAGGACGTGGCTGAGAAGGACGTGCGGATCAGAGAGCTGGTGAAGCAGCTGCAGCACTGCGAGGTGCGTAGGTTGTTCTGCAATTTGAGGTGTGTTGGTTCTGTGGCTCGACTCGGAACAATGCAGGCAGGCGCTCAAGGCGGCCAGGGAGGACGTGGCTGAGAAGGACGTGCGGATTAGGGAGCTGGTGAAGCAGCTGCAGCACTGCGAGGTGCGTTGCTGGTGTGCTGCAGTGCAGTTTGAGTTGAGGTGTGTGGGTGTTTTGGCTCGACTCAGAGGAACAATGCAGGCAGGCGCTCAAGGCCGGGAGGGAGACGCTACAGCAGGCTGAGAGGGTTGCGAGAGAGGTCGTGATTCATGTGATGTGAAGCAAGCAACCCCTCTTTTTGAGGGATGCGTGAGAGAAGGACAGAGCAGCACACCCTCCTTCCGTAAAACGTCCTGCTGCCTTTCCTCTTTCATCCCTCCCTTCCCCCTCTTCCCCTCCCGTCCCCCTCCTCCCTCTCTTCCGCCTCTTCTTCCCCCCCCTCCCCTCCCCCTCCTCCCCCTTCCCTCCCTTCTCCCCCCCCCCCCCCCCCCCCCCGCGTTGCTTCACTCCAGATGAGTGCAGCATCTCAGCAGCAGAAGCTGCAGCAGGCTGTGAGGGCGGCAAGAGAGGAGGCGGAGGAGAAGGAGGATGAGATACAAGTGTTGGTGGAGAAAGTCAGAAGCATGGAGCCTCAGGAGGTGGGTCGTTTTTTTTTGTGGACTAAAATAAGAACCGTACATTGGAGTATTGCTGGAGAAAAAAGAGACGTATGGAGAAGCAGGGGGTGAGGGGGTTGGGGGTGGTGGATTGGAAAAGGGGGTGGTGGGTTGTAAGAAAGTGTGGTGGATTGCACAAGGGTGGAGCACACGGAATACGCCCACATAATGTGTGGAGGGGGAGAGGGGGTGGTGGATTGCTGCTCTCCTGTGTGTCCCGTCCTGTCCCTCTCTCTCCCGCATGTCCCCCTCTAATCAATCAACACCCAATCCCCCATTCTCCCTTCAACCCGTCTCCCCAACCACTCTCTCTCGCTCCTCTCCATCCCTCTCCATCTCCTCTCCCTCCATCCCTCCATGCCCTCATCCCTTGCAAGTTGCAACCCTTCTTATCCCACTCCACCCCTCCGTCCTCCCTCGCCCATACCCATCCCCATGCCCCGCCCAGGGAGGTGAGGAGCAAGGGCGAGCACAGCAGCAGCAGCAGCAGCAGCAGCAGCAGCAGCAGGCAGAGCAGGAGTGGCAGTCGTTGCGGCAAGAGAAGGAGGCCTTGCGGAACGAGAACGAGGGCCTGAGGCAGGAGAATGAGAACCTGCGGCAGGAGGTTGAGGGGATGAAGGAGGACGCACAGAGGGCAGGGCAGGAGGGGGAGGAGTTGAGGAAGGCGGTGCAGGGGGCGAGGGAGGAGGTGGGGGAGAAGGAGGAGAGGATTCGCGCCCTGCAGGACAGGCTGGAGCGGATTGAGATGCAGGAGGAGGTGAGATGCAGGAGGAGGTGAGATGGCTAAGTTAGAGAATCTGCAGGTACTACGCAATACGCTGGTTGGGAGAAGTCTGTATTTTGAGACGATGCTTAGGTTTGTTGCAGCTGCACTCCTTTCTTCCAAGGCATGCGCCTCTCTCTCCTTATCCTCCCCCTCTACCCCTCTTGACAACTCCTTTCAACCTTCTATCAACTCCTTTCAACCCCTTACACCCCCTCATGCTCATCAACCCCTTGCAACCCCTCTCTCAACCCCCCAGGAGTCAGGCCTACAGGACATGCTGGCGGCGCTGCAGGCGTCGGTGCGGGACAAGGAGGAGACTCTGCGGTCGCTGAAAGACTCAAGTTGGGTGCAGTCTAGCACACAACAACCCTACCCACCCACCCACCCTTCTCAAACCCCCTAACCCCTCTTAACCCTCGAACAACCCTTTATCAACCCCTCCCAACCCCCCAGGAGTCAGGCCTACAGGACATGCTGGCAGCGCTGCAGGCGTCAGTGCGGGACAAGGAGGAGACACTGCGGTCGCTCAAGACGGCGCTTGCTCTCTCAGACGCTCGCGCCAAGGATGCCGGCTCGCAGCTAGATCCTCTCAAGCTTGAGCTGCAGCAGCTGCGCCTGCAGATGGTGCGTGCTGGCTGGCTGAGTGTGTGTGTGTGTGTGTGGTTTGAGGGGAGGGGGGAGGTGAGTAATGAGTCAAGGGGACTGTTGAGTTGACGCAGGTGTCGCCGTGCATCTGCATTTGGTGGGTATGGTTTCAAAACCCCTTGCTCTGCAAGGCCCATGTCTCATCCTTACCTAACCACAGCATTCCCTTATTGCTACTTGCACCTTGCATATCTGTGCTTGTGTGTGTGCACATGCCGTGCGTGTGTGTATGTGTGTGTGCGTCTTGGGGGGGGGGGGAGGGGGGGGTGGCATGATGGCGTACAGGACGAGCAGCAAGCAGCACGGGAAGAGGAGCTTCGACTGGTGGCAGCTCGAATGGTGAGTCAGTACAGCACACCATGGCAATAAATCAACATCCCACAGCTACCTGCTGTAGCAACACACCCTTTGAGTTGACTCGGAATCTGCAGCAGCAACGGTGCCTTAGGCATCCCTTGCCAACTCTGCTTTCCACGTTTTCCCCTTCCTTCGACTCCGTTCGCTTTTGTGATCTGTTGTAAGACTCAGGCGTTTCAGCATTTTACCTCGGTTTCCTCTTCCCACTCCCCTCCCCCCCCTCCCTCCCTCCCTCCTTCCCACCCGCCTCCCTGTGCTCATGACAGGAGGAGCGCAATAAGGCTCAGGAGGCGGAGCTTCAACAGTCAACAGCCACCATGGTACGACATTCCATGGCATGGCATGGCATGGCATGGCATGGCATGGCATGGCATGGCATGGCATGGCATGGCATGGTATGGCATAGCATAGCATGGCATAGCATGGCATAGCATGGCATGGTATAGCATAGCATGGCATAGCATAGCATGGCATGACAAGACATGACGTGACATGGCTTGAATTTCCTGAGCTTGTAGGCCATTGCCTGCTTCGTTATCTGGCTGTCATCTTTTTGTGTCATGCGTGCATGCGTGCCGATTCGTGTGTGTCTGTGCGTGTTGCTCTCCTGTCCGCCACTGCAGGAGGCCATGAAGGCGGGTCATGAGAGAGAGATGGAGCAGATCAAGAGAGCAATGGTGAGCGGGTCAGAAGAATAATAGGCGAGCGGGTAAAAAAATCTGACATTCAACAATGCATGTTTGATAACTTTTTTTGAGCTGAAGCCACGCAAGTTACTGAGTTGTTCCAACTCAACTCAACTAAACGAAACTGAACTTGACTGAACTGAACCTCCTCACCCAGTCACCCCCAATGCCAGCCCATATCATGGCCACGATCTGGCACATCTGACTTGCGTCCAACTTATTACTTCTCCTGTATTCTCTCACTGGCTGTGGCTGTGCGTGCGCATGTGTATGTGGGTGTGTTTGCGTGTGTGTGTGTTTGTGTGTGTGTGTGTGTGTGTGTGTTTGTGTGTGTGTGTGTGTGTGTGTGTGTGTGTGTGTGTGTGGAGTTGGGGTGTGGTGGGTGTGCATGTGTGCGTGCATGAATGCACAACAGGCAGCAGCCAGGGCAGCACACGAAGCAGAGCTTCAGCAGCTCAGAGACACCACTGTGAGTACGATAGGCAGCGCAAAGACACAAGCACATGTGTGTGCACGCATGTTAAACTCTGGTTTATGGTTCACACAGAACCACTTGACTTGATACATGCGTTGAGGATTTAGACTCCCAACGCATGTCTCGCCAGGCTGCAACAGTTGTTACCCTACCCCGCACACTCCTCTCCTCTCACCTCCTGTCAAACTTGCCCATGGTCTGCCCTGACCCTCCCGCTGCTCCTCTCCCCCCTTCCTCGTCTCCTCCCCTGTCCCACCATCGTGTACTACCAGTGCAGGCAGCCAGCATCCCATCGGGCAGATCTGCAGCAGCTCAAGCTTGTGTTGCCCGGTCCCCCTCCTCCCGCCCTCTCCTCCCCCGCTCCCCTGCCCTTTTCCCCACTTCTTTCCCCCTCCTCCACTCCACTCCCCTGTCCGCCCGTGTGCTGTCAACCACTGCAGGCAGCAGCAGCAGCATCCCACGGGGGCGATCTGCAGCAGCTCAAAGACCAGCTGGTGAGGCCACGTGCCATGCCCTCTGTGCCCATGCCACATGTCGCACAGTTGAGCAACCATGGCTTCTTGTTGCAACCCTGGGATTCATCTGCATGTTGCAACCCTCAACCGCAGCCCTCAACCCTGAATTCAAAACCTCAACCCGAAACCCTAATTGAATGTGATGGCTGCGGTGCATGCAGGAGTCTTCCAAGGCAGCACACGAGGCAGAGCTCCGTCAACTGCTCGATGAAATGGTTAGTGAATTACATTTGCTCGCTGGGTTACATGAAATGCTCTGTGCAAGGGAGTAGCACTTCCTGATTCGCACTCAACAATGCACCCACCTATTGCTACCATTACACTCAACAATGCACCCACCTATTGCTACCATTACACTCAACAATGCACCCCCCTGTTCCCAACCGTTTTTTCTAGCCGTTTTTTCAGTTACTTGTTCTCCTAGTTGCATGTTGCATCTTTCATGCCTGTTATGCCACTGCTCACATGCATCACTTGTCTGGCTTTGGCAAATGGCTGGCTGGTTCACATGTTGAGAGCTTTTCCTCCCTGGCATGTGGCATGTGCATGTGTGGCATGTGCATATGTGCTTGAGCAGGAGGCGATGAAAGCAAGCCATGAGAGGCACATGGAACAGGCCAAGGCAACCATGGTATGGCTTTCACCCACCCACCATGTGCCATGTGCCATGTGCCATCCATCGTTTGCCATGTGTCACCCACCATACGTTTTTGCTTGCACATTCCTTTCTTTCCCAATTTTTTATTGCTCCCTTACCTCTCTTTCTATCATCTTCGACAGCCTCCCCACACATCCCCCAACCCACCCCCAACCCCCCCCCCCCCCTTCCACCCCCCCCCGGCTCCTTCTCTCAGCCCCAACTCATTTCCACGTCCCTCCCACATGCAGAGGGGACCAGGCTTGTGAATCTACCCAAAGGCCATCTCGTTCGAGTCATCTGAAACGCCACCACCCCAACCCATCCCCTCGTCCGTCCCATGTGCAGGGGACGCCAGGGCCCATTGTGGCAAGCAGTGCAGGGCACAGCAGTGAGGAGGTGGAAGCGCTGCAGAGGAGAGTGGCAGAGCTGGAGGCTACAGTGGATGGCAAGACTCGTGAGGTGAGTAACAGGAAACGCATGCTAGGATTCTGGTTCGTTCATGGCACACCTAGCATGCGTGTGAGCTGATTCCTGCACGCACCAGAACCGATTCCTTTGGTCCGACTAGCAAAGGCTTTAGAAGACCATTCCATCCTCACATCTCCGCACCATCACCTCCCTTGTCAGTTATTCTCATGCCCTTCCCTCTTTCCTCCTCCCCTCCCTGCCCCCTCCTCTCTTTCCCCTCCACGCACAAACCCCACCACCCCCTCCCCCTCACCCCACAGTTGGCCATGGCGTTGGAGTCATCAGAGGGGGATATGCAATCCGTGCTGGCACAACTGGAAAGCTGCAAGGAGCAGGAGAGGAAGCACAAGGAGCACGCGCAGCAGCTACAGGAAACCCTCAAAACCTACGAGCTGTCCCAGCTGCGCGCACAAGAGCTACAATCTGCAAACGACGAGCTGAGGGACCAATCGGAGCGGCTTTTAGCTGAGATCCGGAGCTTAGAGATGGTGGTGGCAGGGGTGGAGTCGTTTGATCCGAGGCGGCCCAACCACCGGGTGCGGCTGCTGCGGCACCCGTCGTTTATGTGCTCGGTGTGTCGGGGGAGTGGGAGCGGGATTGCGTGGCGGTGCATCACTGGGAGGTGTAGCGATTCGATTCACCTTTCTTGCTTGACTTCGAGGTGATGATGGGTGATGGCAGGTGAATGGATGCACAGGAAGGGAATATCTTAGAAAATGTATAAGCTATTAGAAATTGGATGGCCATAGGGTAGCAAGCAGTTTGTGAGGAAATGGAGTAGTGAGAGAGTTTTTTTTGTGTGAAAAAATGAGGGTATGGCTTCAAATGATAGGTCTGGCTAGGTGGAGGTGAACTAGGCATGCCAAGTTCTCGTGAAAATCAGTGTGCTAACAGAATGGCTTAGTATTTGATTACTTTCCGAAAAGTTTGGAGTTGGGTTTTGGCATTACAATCCCCAGTTGGGAAGGGTGCAGTCATTATGATCAAGGCAGAACTGATGCAAAACCAAGGAAACGAAAGTCGTCTACAAACGCGGACGAGAAACACCCCAACCCACCCACCGCATCCACCTTCCCATTCTCCCAACCATTCCCACCCACTTTGGAGAATTGACGGCACAGTGCGGTACAGTGCGATAAGGCACACTGTACCCTTGTCCCCCTGGATATTGCCGACACCCATTTCTCCCTTCACATTTCCCCCCACATCCACCCTTTCTTCCAAATCATCCTAGATCCGCTCCTACAGTAAATCCCCGTTTCTAGCTCAAAGTTCGCCGCTGTTTCGTCCCCGCGCTGCTCCCGCGCGACTCTTCCGCCATGTCCGGCGATCAGGATCGCGAGCGCAATGCGAGCCGCCGCCTGCCCGTCGACGCGCTTGCGAGCGTGGATCCCGCGGAGATGGTGCGCCTGCTGGGCGAAGCGCTGGTGCAGAGTGAGTGGCGGTGCGGTTCGGATGGTAAGGTCGTACGCGTTAGAGTAACAGCGGAACGCTCTTGAGAGTCGAAATGTGTCGTGTGACGTTGTAACGAGGTGACAATCAATCAACTGGTGAGGACGTACGAGTTGGAGTATTGCCACAACGCGAGCATACACGGCATATCAGCGTCACTTTCAGAGTGAGAGTGAGAGTTAGATCTGGAGTCAACGTTAGAGCTAGGGCCAGGCAGGCATGGTGTCCCTGCTAGTGAGTGATTCGGTGTAAGTATCGTGCCACTCTCCAGCCGGAGACACTGCGGCATGGAATAAGCTCGTTGCGACATGGCGCAAGTAAGAACGGGTGGGATTGTACGCCTCGACAATCCGCTCCCTCTCCCTCTCCCTTTCATGCTTCCCACGGCTCCCTCCTGTTCATCAAAGGGTCACCTTTTCACCTCTCTAGATCGCTCCATCCGGCCCGACTTGCGAGACGTTAGAGGCGTTTCACATCACATCGCTACATCACATCGCTGCATCACATCGCTACGTCACATCGCTACATCACATCGCTACATCACATCGCTACATCACATCGCTACATCACATCGCTACATCACAAGCAATCCTCTTTCCCTTCGACTCCATGAGACATCTCATAACGTTACCATTTTTCCCCTTCTTTCCTCTCCCTTCTCCCTGTCTCCCCCGAATTCTCTCTCTCGCATTCCAGCCGACTCCGCTCGCCCTGGCTTCTGCTATCACGCCGTGCGGAAAGAATTCGCGCAGCTCCTTTCCTCCTCCACCTTCCCTCCTCCTGTCTCCTTGGGCAACAACACCACTACCACCACCACCAACAACAACAACAACAACAACAACAACAACAACAACAACAACAACAACAACAACAACAACAACAACAACAACAACAACAACAACAACAACAACAACAACAACAACAACAACAACAACAACAACAACAACAACAACAACAACAACAACAACAACAACAACAACAACAACAACAACAACAACAACAACAACAACAACAACAACGACAACGACAACGACAACGACAACGACAACGACAACGACAACAGCAGCAACAGCAGCGGTATAGCGTACCCCGGGCCTGTGACGTACGGCATGCTCTGTGTGCTCTCCATGCTGCAGCCTTCTGGAGGCGAGGAGGGCGGGGGACACGTGGCGCACGGCGATACGCTGCTGCACCTGGTGCTGGCGGCGCTGGAAGGAGCGATGGGAGAGAAGGAGGGGGCAGACGCAGCAGGTGCAGCCGATGAAGCAGCAGCAACAGCGCTCCCAGCAGTCTCAGGAGCTGCAGAAACATCACCAGCACCAGCAGCAGTCCTAGCAGCAGCAGGAGCAGCAACGAGCGGGGGAGTTGCGTTCGGAACAGTATC